GAAAAGTACTCATGCTATATCAACTTTTAAATTGAAGAGGAATGCACTTGGAGGGCAATATAACAAAATACTGAAAGAGATGGATCACTGGTTTTATGAGTTTTCTGGCTTTAGATACATTTCACATTTATTTTTCAATGCATACAAGTTTCTTACATTATCAAAAATAAAATTGAAATAACCCCTTTCAAATGTATTTCTCATGTGCTATTTTATGCTACTGCACAAGTTAATCAAGAAAGGATAATTTCATATATTTTTTTTAGATTTATTTATTTATTTTTATACAAGAACCGGGGTACAGGCCAGAGGCGTGGGACGGTGAGAGGAATCACCAGAGACAGAGTGGGGAAGAGAACAAGCAGACTGAAGAAATACAATGCTGAGGGGAGCAGCAGGTGTGGCAGGAGAGGTCTGCTGAGTCACATGGGATTCTCGCTGGCCAGCTGGGATCTGAGCCTGTGCTGCCGAGGCTGCAAACAGCTTCACAGGGCAGCGCTCAACCGCCTGCGCCACAGGGGGAGGCCCATAAATTTGTATTTATAGTTGAGAAGATTGAGTAATTTCCCAAGTACAGGAGCTGGAAATAAAACTCAGATCCTCCAAAGTCTACTTCAATGTTTCTTCTACACCATACCAATATGATACAGGAAATAATATATGTAAACATTCTATATGTTTTTTTTTCACAATAAAGGCAAAATATTTGTAATCTAGGATGTTCTTAATTATGTCATTTAGGGACCTCCCTGTTGCGTTAAGACACAACCTATAAAGCTATCCACAGACTCTGCAGCACAAGTTCGATCCCCCGGCTGGCCAGGGAGCAATGCACATGGCTCAGCAGACCTCTCCTGTCTTGCCCGTTGCTCCCTTCAGCAGTGTACTTCGGTCGATCTGCCTCTGGCCTGTACCCCAGTTCCTGTATACATAAATATTTTTAAAAATATGTCATTTATTTGAGCTTCTTCTGAATTGTTAATTTCTAATCAAAGGAAAAAGAAATGTATGAGATCAGACAAGTGTTACTAAAATGGAATATCAAAGTATGTAAAATGTATCAGGAATAAAATCTCATTACATCTAAGTTTGATTTATTATGATAACAAAAATTAGAAGAAAATCTAAAACTCTTGCTTTTACTTTAAGAAGCTACTTAACGTGGTACTTCAATTAGGATGAAGTCAATAATACTTGAGAATATTAGTAATGACTAAATTTGAGAATCCATTAGGTTACCCACAAAGGGTAAAGAAAATTAAGTAGATATGCTGACTAACGTAAGCAGACTTTTAATAAAGAAATCTGTTTTAATCTGGGAGAAATTAAACTAGAAACTTGTATCTTTGTAACTACTAATGGAAGGTTATATATAGGGCATAATTAAGAAATTAAAGTAATCAGTAAGGTTAAAGCCATATTCTTTCTAGAAACACATTTCTCTCCAGGAGTTGACATAGTTTAACTCCTGTGCATCCACACTGGCCTTTTATCAGCATGTTTCCTTCATCAAGTTAGCACACAGTCAAGGTCAGGCAGTGAGCAACGTTAGGGCAGAGATTGTCTTATTCTTCCTTATATGAATAGAACCTAGCAGAGTGCTCAGCAATATGCACACATGTGCATTTGCATATAGAATCAAATCAATTTCAATAACCAGAACCACATCAGCTCAAGTTACATGTATTAGAAAAATGTACAATATACACTCCACACAAATTGAATGATTTGGGAGGTTATCTGCAATACCAGATAATTTATGCTACAATTGTCTATTCCATTAGGTAATGAATATGCATGTTCACATAGGGGCTAACGTGTTTGATGAGCTTCAAACTGAGCCATTCCCCAGGCAATGGCCTCTAAGTTAGGGGTCTTAAGTGTTAGAGATTATCATCAGGCACATAAAGTTACTATATGAAGTTGAATCAACTGCAATGTTCATATTCCTCTCACCTTTGACTGGGAAACAAGTACTGAGAAATATTTATACCATTGCAAGAATGATGATAAATGAAAACTGATGCCGTCTCAGAGTCAGGGTCACATACACACAAGCAGGAAATGGTAAATCAGACTAAACTTTCATGCCTCTTTTGGGAAGCTTCTACTCAACTCCTTATGGTCCAATATAGGAATACTGGACAATGGAAGCAATATCTTCTGACTTCTGAAAAACCACCAGAAAATTCAGATTTCCATTTAAAACACTCCATTTTTTTAAATGTTGGTAATTTTAAAAATTCAAAACACTATATAGGCCAAATAAAACACATCTACAGATCAGATGTGACATGCAAGTTTCTGGTATATAAACTCTAGTTTAACAATTTGATTACTCTTTTTCACATATATTTGAAATATTCCTAAAAAGCCATGTAATTTGACTACTAAAATGTCAAGGAGATTTTTCTGACTCAATAAGGTAAATATCAGTGGTTACATGTGCTATAATTCTGTACTTATAACTTCAAAAATATTAAGTATTTTGCTAATTCCACTGTTTTCAAAATGAAAATATCAAAGCCTAGAGACAGACAATGGAATAATAAGTATAACCATTATAAACCTTATTTTATTTTTTTATATATTTTAAAGATTTATTTATTTATTTATTCATTCATTCATTCATTTATTTATTTATTTATTTATTTATTTATTTATACAAGCACTGGGTACAGTCAGAAGAGCGGGAGGTTGAGAGAATTCATCAGAGCTAGAGCGGGGAGCAGAGCAGGTAGAAGGACCGAGGTACTCTGCTGAGGGGTGCAGCGGGTGGCAGGAGAGGCCTGCATGCCATGTGGAGACCCTCCTCCTGTGGCCAGGGAGCAGCCGGGGATCGAACTGGCGCTGCAGAGGCTGCGGGCAGCTTCACAACCCAGCACTCAACCGCTGCACCACCGGGGAAGCCCTATAAACCTTATTTTAAATGTGGTATAATCAAGGTTAGATCAAAAGTTCAAGTTGGTTCTCTAAGTATGCAGATACATGATTGTATTTTTACATGATGACTAACCAATTATAGTCACTATAAAGTTCTGTCATAACTGACATTTTATATCAAGCTTTCTTCTAAGAAAGCTAAAATTTCAACCTCATTTTAATCACTTTAGCTATTTAGAATTCTGTTAATCAAGTAGGAAAAAAAGTCTCCAACACCTAGAATGATTTATCTGTTTGTACAAATGTGAGAAAAATGATCACATCTTCAAGTAATAGATTACAAGCACAAAGAAAGTTCACATTACAGCCATGCTGATGAAAATTACCTGCAGGCTGTTATAACACAGCCAGTGAATTAATTAACCTTTTGCCATAAAAATCTAGAAACTTCAGCAAAGACCAAGATTTCTCTTTTTCTCTTGCTCCAACTTCCTCAACATTTTAGAAAGTAAAACACTGTGTAGTAACTGAGGCAAACAAATAAAACATACTTAGATTTTATCATCTCTCCATGTTACTACAATAAAACCACATAAGTTATGATCAAAACATAGCAAGTTGTATATTTCATCTTTTGTTTTAGTTAACAAAAGATGTGAAATAATGGTTGAATTCTACACAAACTTTTACTTTTGTGAATGAGATCAGGATTTGCTTATTATGAAGGTTAGTTACCTCTTCATTTATTCTGTGAAAAACAAAGTTAAATAAAATAGAACTTCACCAATGTGAAGTTTAAAAAATGAACACAAACTTTTTTTTAGATTTAATGTTCGAATGAAGGGCACTATATTTGAATGTATTTGTCATGTATTTTACGAGTTTAGGATCTGAAGCTTAAAATTTGCTAAATGAGGTAGAACCGTGATCTGGGAAAATTAGATTTCTAATAAACATTGGTAATATGAATCACTATATTCCTCAAGTTGTTATAGGCAAAAACCACTAAGACTTAATGTTTGTGGATGTTCTACCAAGATTTAGGCTACTTAATTACTCTTTAAATATTAATATCATAATTTCACAAGTCTCTATGCAATTGTTTTGTGGCACATTTTATTTTTCTCTTTGATATAGCAATACCTCCTCAAGAGGGTTAACATCCCTGATATTTAATCAGTAATAAACAATGAGAGCTGTTCTCTTCCATTAGTCAATTTGAGGAATTAGTTTAATCAATTCATTAAAAAATTAGACTTGAAAATGGATGTCATTCCTCAGCAGGTTAGGAGACATTTTTGTTTAGTTAAGGGGTTTTCTTTTTATACATTATTTTTAGAATGTTAGGATTTCTATAGTTACAGATGAGTAATGACTTGTCAAATTCATCTTTTAAGAGCTATACTAATGAATTCCCCTCTCAAAATATTGTTTATCAATTTTGTTTGCAGGTAAAGGTACTCAATATGTTGAAGTCAGAAGGTGATTAACTTTATGTTAATCAACTGGGTAATGCTTATCTAGATAACTTTAAATGCTTATGATATTTCTTATGTATATTAAGGGCAAACGTATTTGATGAATGCATATTTCAAATTAGGTAGGTATTTTAAATAATTTGTGAAAAACAATAAATCCTTAATAATTTTCAATAGATTCAAACTTTCCAAATGGAACATTGCTTTGTATTCATAAGGAAGAGAGTTGTTAATTTTGGTAAAGTTTAAATATTTACCAAAAGGTTTTTGATTATTTCAATTTTGAGGAAACCAATATTATGAATCATGTATATTTAGGAAAGATAAATATCTACCTTTTGTGTCAAGGCTAGCACGTACTTTGTCACATAGAAAATTTATAATAAATACATTTTGAATATAACAGTATATAAAGTTCCAAAAGAAATTTGACATTTTGCAATACTTAAATATGACTATTCTAACTTAAACCAGACTTTACATTGATTGCCGTTGAGACTTAGGTAGTTATGTAAAAGGTGATAATATGTATAAAAGGTACATGACTTTAAAAGGCATAAATTAGAATACAAACATTTAACACTTCTTAATTATTACAGGAATAAGCATGCTACCCTTTGGAAGTTACAGTCTACATACCTGACAGGCAATGTTCTGTCTCCTTTCCTTCTATCCATTTCTCTTTGAGGCACAGGATACCAACGGAAATTCAGTTTCCAGTTAAATCCCCCATAAGTCATGTCTGACCCAGCCATATATTCAAAAGTATCATCGCTAATTACATCAATGATGGGGCATACTACTGTCTTCCTGCAGAAAAATGAAGGCCAGTTAATGTATAAGTAATAAATGCTGTATTATCTCCTTTAAATTCAGTATAGCTGACATTCTAAAATTTAATTCTTTTGTGTCTTTAACATGCCTTTATTTTCATTCATATTTTTTCTCTGTGAAATTATTTCCTTTTACTACATCTTCCTTAGAGTCTATACTACCTCATACAATCTAATCAAAGATACTAATTGATCTCTAAGCTCATTTTCAAATGCATTCTAAGTATTAACTCAGCAGGATGAACATGGCCTAATTTTTCATAAAACTTCCATCCATAGTATGATTAGTAGAGCTGCACTGAGATCATGTATCATTTTAACTATAGTCCACTAGAAAGCAATATGATGCAGGAAATGAAGAAAAGATAACGGCAAATTAGGTCTGGCAGTTTGCATCTCAAATGGGATAGGACTGTTTAAATAGGCACTCTGAGAAAATTTCATGAGAAAATGCCTACTAGCAAAAACAAACAAAAATAAGCAAGCAGAAGCAATAACAAAATCATAATCATGAATATAGGTAAATGTTTCCTATGAAATATATTAGGATTATGATGATTTTTGAGTGAATTTGTCCTAGACTTAGGAGTTTATAGTAAAAATCTACATATTTTAGGTTAGGGAAAGAAAAAAGTTCAGATTCTGTTGTTTGGATATAACCCATAACCATTTTTTTCAAGTTAGAGAAAGAGTCAGATTATTTTTCATATTGTTTTGTATGTGTGTGATCCAAGCACTGATTTTATTATTTTTAGAATTAATTTATTTATTTTTAACTTATATTGTCAATGCTGACTTTTCAGGGTAAGAAAATTTTCATCATGGGAGATCATTAGGTAATTTTTTTATTTAATGAACTTATTTATTTAGTGAAGTGAAGTAAGTCATATAAAGAAAGATAAATGCTATGATTCCATCTGTATATGGAAGATAAATAGCCAATTAACAACAACAAAACAAAACATTCAGAGAACAGATTGGTGATTCCAGAAGGAAAGGATTTGGGGTTAATGGGGTCAAATAAATGGTGGTAAACGGAATCTAGACTGTGATGGTGATCATAATGCAGGGCACACATATGTAAAATGATATACGTAAGTATTCTTTTTACTCTAAAGTGTGCCTTCTCCATTCTTCTGTATTTCTGCTTATATATTTTATTATGGGATCAACTTTCTGTAATTTTCTCAGAAAATGCTACTATCTACTCAAGTTTGCATTACTTATAGCTAGTTTTGAAGAGCATAACTTGTTTTTCAACTTTGGCAGAAGATAAATATACATATATGCTCTTAAATCATCCAGAGATATGGAAATCAAAGTAATGTTTTCTGTTATTTATTCTGGGTTTGTAACACCAGTATCACCAATGCTCATTTTCAAATGGATCATGTATTATAATTTACTTTAAATCCTGACAGTTGATTCTTTCTATTCTTATTTTTCTTCTCCTTCTCTCTTACTCATCCTTCTTTTCCGTCTTTTTGTGATTCAGGTGCCCAACATAAGCTTTAATTGCCAAGGAATCCACTTCAAAGAGATGTCCACTTTTGGGCTTCCATGGTGGTGCAGGCGGTTGAGCGCAGCACTGTGAATATGTCCACAGCCTCTGCAGCGCCGATTTGATCCCGGCTGGTGGGCGAGGGTCCCGCATGGCGAAGCAGACCGCTCCTGTCTTACCCACTGCTCCCTTCAGCAATGTATTTTGTCAGTCTGCTTGTTCTGTTCCCTGCTCTGTCTCTGGTGAATCCTCTCACCCTCCCACAAATCCAGTCCTTACGCGGGTTCTTGTATAAATAAATAAATAAATCTTTTAAAAAAAAGAGATTTCCACTTTGAAGGTGGTCATCTCAAATAACAATGCCCTCCACTGGACCAGATAGACAGGGTATTTCACTCTACTGTAAATTTTTGTTTTATAGATCTTAGATAATTTCAGTAACAAACCATTTGGGTAACTTGCAATTTCTTTACATTGTTGATTGTGACTTTTTAGGGTAAGAAAATTTTCACTATGGGAGATCATTAGGCAACATTTTTTTTATAAATCCACACTCTTATGTGTTCCCAATAAAGAGTTTATTTACCAATAAAGAGTGAGCCCAAGAACTCTAGACCTCAACCCTCAGTTCTAATAAAATAACCACAAGCCTATGGTCATGTTCTCTCTCTCTCTCTCTCTGTACGACCCTAGGCACACTGTGCAATTTCCACAACCTGTAAATAATAAATCACTTTTCCCCAAAGTTATCTAATGATTATGCTTAACCTGCAATTGTAATAAGACCACAAGGAGCCATCCAATTACATTAGTTACAGATAGACTGAGACTGGCACACAGTATCTGCAAAGTGGCCAAAACCTGGAGTTCTGTGAAATTAACAGGATTCATCTAATCTTAGCAAAACTTCATGACTGTGTTTCCAATAAAATCAATATTTTTTCTTTTTTAAATTAAACTTAATGACCTAATTTGTAGGGAAATGAAATTAGATCTAGTAACCCTGAACAGGATTTTATTATCTACCTATGGCAACTTCAGAACTTATAAATAGGACAAGACTTTGAGTTCCTTATATGCAAACACAATCTAACTGTTGTTATATTATAAACTAAATCACCTATGCATGACAATATTGAAATGTTATATGAAAAACTCACTAAGTTGAATGTGACACACATGTTTACAACAGCAGCAGAATGTAGGAAAAGTTGCCAGGAAATGCCTTTAAGATCTTCCAAGTTCATTTTACTTGGCCAGTCTTACCCTTCTGTGGGTACCCTACAATACACAGAGTGGAAAAACATTATACACTGTGTCCTACACTCAGTAAACTAAAAGATTCCTACTGCTCTATTCACCAGCTATGGTTCACTTTACTGACAGCCTCCATCCGTCTTCCTGGCAAGAACCAAAACCTGCCATCTACATGAATGACCAGGTTAGACATTAAGTCACCCCTGTCTTGGATACTTAATTAAAACTTCAATTTCAGAGAGACCTTTCTACTGTAAGTAAAATGAGTATGTCAGTAAGGTGCTATGCAAAGGTTTGTTCTCTTATCAGATGGCATTATTTTAGTTGGCTTCATTAAGTTCTTAGGAACTATACTCATTTATTAACAATGCTTATGACTATCTGTAAAAAAAAAGTTTGCACTTTATAGATCATCATTGGAAAGAAATATAGGTATCTATGTGGGCTTTTAATTTATATAAATGTATTAATTTTTCAGATATTTAAGTGCAGTGTCATTCAAATAGTTGAGTATGCTTATAACTATGTTATCTGTGTTTTTATCATGACTTCTTTTCAGTAGGTTGTATGAGTGTATGTGTTTATTTTTAATTTCCTTGAGGTGAAATTTCTTTTTTCAAGATTTATTTATTTATGCATACAAGAACTGGGGTGCAGGCCAGAGGTGCAGGGGCGTGAGAGGATTCACTAGAGTCAAGAGTGGGGAGCAGAACACGCAGGATTGACGGAAATATACTGCTGAGGAGAGTAGGGGACAAGACAGAGAAGTCTTCTGTGCCATGTGGGTGGCTCCCTGGCTGGGGATTGAACTCATGCTGCAGTGGCTGCAGATTGCTTCATAGTGCTGAGACTTAACCCCTTATGCCACCAGGGAGGCCCTCAAGGTGAGATTTGAATTATGATTTGAATAAGAACTATGACCTAGTAGAGAAAATGATAGTCTGGGAATGGGAAGAAATAATTGTCCCCATCACTTCCAATAATTGAAGCAACCTGATTTGTTCCTCTCTATTATGTGGCATAGATAAGAACTTGGATATCACTTACCTAACAATGGGATTGTGAGGATGCAAGAAGGTGCTTTGAAAATATATTTCATAAAAATAGCGTACTGTACCATTTCAGATTAGACTGACTTAATTTACCAGAAAAGAAAAAAAAAAACAACATTTTTACTGTTCAAATTGTTTGACCATTACTAATCGAAAAAATATTCAAGTTCATCATGAATAAGCAAAACTATTTGTTAAATAACAGGGCAGAAGAGGGGGTTGGGAGTAGTGGTCTTGGGAATCTGCTTTTTTAAAAGAAATGAAATGTCTGAAAATAGACATTTTGGAGAGTTTTGTATTTATTTTTCATATGGAATGTTGTATTTTCATTATTTTAATTTATGTATTTATACAAGAACTGGGGTACAGGCCAGAGGCATGGGTGGGTGAGAGGATTCACCAGAAACAAAGCAGGGAGCAGAAAAGGCAGAGAGACTGGAAACACTGCTGAGGGGAGCAGCGGGCGAGACAAGAGAGGTCTGCCGCCATGTGGGTATCTCCCTAACTGCCTCGGAATCGAACCCGCACTGCAGAGGCTGTAGACCGCTTCATAGCACTGCGCTCAACCCGCTGCACCACAGGGGAGGCCCTGTATTTTCATTTTTTAAGGTTGTATCATTTCTTGCAGAGGTAACAATGGTTTACAATACTGTATACGGTTCAGGGATACCTAAACTGAATATTTAGGTTATGTTATTACACCACGATGGTGGAGGACTGCTGGTACTTTTGTCATGGATGTAGAAGAGAAGTTTGATAGAAAACTGGATCTGTGCCAATAGTCCAGTAATAACCCAAGCAGACATAGCACATATATTCTTACCTGTCCTCCTTTATTCTCGCCAGCAAAGGCTCCAGCCATCCTAAAGTGCATTCACAGTGTGCATCAAGGAAAGTTATCACCTCCCCTTTTGAAGCAGCTGCTCCTCGAAGGCGGGCACGTATTAACCCAGAGCGCTCTTCCATTCTAATAATTTTAACTGGTACTTCTAAATTTTTCACATAATTCTCCAATGTCAACTTGAGAAAATCTGTAATGTTCAGTGAGAATTTTTCAGCATACAAGCATGCATTGTGCAAAATGAACAGTGAATTAATATATATATTATATATTAAATTTAATATTATATTATATTTTATTATATTTATTTAACATATTTAACATATTTTATATTAAATATATATTAAATATATTTAATATAATTTTTATATATTATATTTATTTTATTCTATTATATTTATAATATTATAATATTATATAAATATAATATTATATTTAAATTTAATATATATATTAAATAATATATATATTAAATTTAAAAAAAAGAAGAATTTGTCAGGGCTTTAAAACGGTTTTAAGATATAGCAAAGATAACACTGCCCAGGTGAAAACTCAATACAAAGAAATGGTGGCCAACTCCTATCATTTTTTTTATATTAAGTAAAATATTTAGAAATGTTATTGTTAAATTAATGTATGATTCATTATGACTCTGTCACTTTGCTGACACTGTAAAGATAAATAAGCAGTTAACATACCAACTCTAATTTAGAAACCAGGTCACACTGGTAAACAGACTCTAAAATTTTATTTTGTATTAATTTGGATTAAAAGAAATAAGAAAACTATCTACAAAATCATGTAAATGTTCAATCATATGGTAAATTGAGCTGAGAAAAAAAAAGAGACACTTTTGAAAGGCATTTGGGCTGATTTCTTGGGTTAGTAAGAACCAAATGGAATCATGAAAGAAATTGAAAGAATTAGTTACTTGTTCCATTGACTAGGTTCATTGATGAACATTCGATAGATGGTTTCAGGGTTGGTATAAATATATGGAAAATATAAGTCACAGCTCAGATAGCTTTCTGTTCATAATAACTTTTTCTAACTTAAAAGATAAACAAGAAAAATATGTATACCTCTCTCACTAGCATCATCTACCAAGATGACCTCAGAGAGTAGATAGTGAGGGGAACGATTTATAACACTATAAACAGTTCTAAGGAGGGTGCTCCATGCTTCATTATGAAACACGATGACTACACTTGTGTTTGGAAGTTCATCGGGGTAGACCTTTGTCTTGCATCTGGAAAAGAGGAAAGAGGTACATGTTAATTTTTTTTTCATTCTGATTATTGTTATAAAAAATAATTCATAATAACACAACATTTGGCTTGAAAGTCCCATACTAACAAAACATTTTAGGAATATCTAAAATCATTTTCCTTCTATAAATGCTGTGAGTAATCACTTGGCATTTTGAAAATTAAACATGCATAATTACTAATATTTTATTTTAACTCCTGCAGGGAACAAAACAGCATGATTTCTGCCAGCTTAAGAATGCGAAAATAACATTTTGAGACTGTCAATAGAAGACCAGGTACAACAGGGACAGAAGAATGCATTTAGTGGATATAATTTTATTCTTTGCTTAGAATAAAAGAATTAGTGTTTAACTTAAAAAGTCATAAGAACATAAAAAGACAAGTCCACAGGGTTTTGTAGCATGTAAAATAGATTCTGTTCTAAAATCTACTCATGTATGCTTTTCATTCTTTTTGAGAATTCTACAAATCATATCTGCTTTGAAAGAAATTTGGGGGGAAGGATTAATTTTTCAGATTCACAATTAGTACTATATAATATAATCAAAATCAGAAACCAGGAAAAGGAATAGGCTACCAGCATTTGTTAAACTTTAATGTGCATAAGAGACACCTAGGGATTTGTTACAATGCAGATTCTGATTCAGCAGGTCAGGGGACATTCCAAGATTCTGCAATTTTCAAAAAAGCACCAGATAATTTAAATGCAGACGGTTGCTAGAGCACCTTGATGGGTAAGGGTCTGCATCCTAATTGTCATAACTTTTAAAGTATGATGTTTTCAAAAGAACTTTTAACTTTGTTTATAAATCCAAGAAAGCCCAGATTTTACTTTCCAAGCAACCAATCTCAATAGGCACATTTGGATAAATTATCTGCCTATTGCCCTACGTGGTCATGCCAAGTTTATCAAGCAGATGGTTCTTATTCTATTCAACTTAACATTCAGATATTTCTGTCATGTAATTTTAAATCATTGAGATTACAGAATATTAACAAATAGTCACTTGGTATCTACAGCAGGAACAGAAGTCTTTTACATTATTTTTTCATACATAACATTCCAAAAGAACTAGAGAAATAAAATCTTTCCATAAAATAAAACAAATCAGATACTTCCTGCCACTCGTGAACAACCAAATATATGACACAAAATTAGCATAGTTGAAATTAATTTCTTCACAGGTGAGCTAAAAAAAATCCAATAAATGTGGAAGATGAAGACATATAATAAAACAAAGACTGACTATGTGTCTATTGAGAATTTAATTATCCTTTAAACAATCTAAAATATTACTTACTCAGTGAAATCTCCTGCAAAATAACCAGAGAAGAATGCACATACACCTTAACTATAACATTATTAAGGATTCTCAATATTTGATATTGTGTCTATAAGAAAAGCAAAATGTAGAGAGGGACATAGTTTTGACAGAGCTTAGAGTAGAAAATTTAGCATGGAGGCTTTATAAAGTGAGAATCTATAGGTGCAAGTAGAAATGATTAATAAATTGTTAATCTGGTATGGAAGATGTTTAGTGAAAGATGGAAACTGGAGGAAGAGAAATGTCAGTCATTACAAAGAAAGACTAGTCCTTACAGACTAACCCAATCAGATTTTAGAAGTAACCGATAGCACAATAGATAAAATTCCTGTCACTTGTTTTGGCAAAACACAGATCTTGCCCCAAGACTGTATGCCTATGTCTATGTAGGTGTATCTTTTTCTTAATAATGCTGCCTCTTTCAAAAGGCAGCTTCTTATCCTATAAGAACTTTCAGCTGAGCTTATGCAAAAGTCCCCTCTTTCTTTCCCCACTTACTCATTCCTTAATAAACCTGTCCTTTAAAAATACAGCTTTTACCTGTTTGTGTCTATGCAAATGACTGTTTCCTTAATAACTTTGTAGCACCTTAACAAACTTGTCTTGTGCCACTGAATGGGAGAGTGCCAGAACCTTTCTCCAGAGGGAACCCAAGATTGCCACACACTGAACCCCATTACTTTGATTCACAGTCATCTCTTTCCATCCTGCTGGCAAAGTTCTAATGGTTTCAATGTGCTTCATGATCATGGGACTAGTATTTTCAGGCAGTTCACCACTTTATGAATTTAGAAAGCCAACTTGGTTAAGTCAGATTCTTTCCATGATTTTCCTCAACCCTCAATGCTTCTTCCTCATCAAAACACCTATGGGATTCAGCATGCTAAGCAAAAATGCAGTAAAGATAGTCATCATTAATACAGAAGTAAAGATGGAAAAATAGGCTAAAGCAGTATAACAGTCTTGAGTTTAATCCAAAAATAGCAGTCTATACATCACCTGCTCATGGATTGGAAGAATAAACATTATTAAAATGGCCATCCTACTAAAAGCAATATACAGATTCAATGCTATTCCAATAAAATTTTCAATGTCATTCTTCAAAAAAATAGAAAAATTATTGATGAAATTCATATGGAATCACCAAAAACCCCAAATAGCCAAAGATCTCCTGAAAAAAAAAAAAGAAGGGAATGGAGGCATCACACTCCCAGACTTCAAACTATACTACAAAGCCATAATCATCAAAACTGCATGGTATTGGAACAAGAACAGGCACACAGACAAATGGAATTGAATAGAAAATCCAGAAATAAACCCACAGATTTATGGTCAACTAAACTTTGACAAAGGAGCAAAGACTATGCATTGGAGCAAAGAAAGTTTGTTCAATCAATGGTGCTGGGAAAACTGGGTCGCTACATGCAAAAGAATGAAGCTTGACCACTACCTCACACCATACACAAAAATCAACTCAAAATGGATTAAAGAACTAGACATAAGACCTGAAACCATAAAATACATAGAGGGAAATATAGGTGAAACACTACATGATATGCACATCAAAGACATCTTTACAGACACATCACCCAAATCAGTGATAGTGAAAGCAAAGATCAACAGCTGGGACTACATAAAATTAAAGAGCTTCTGCACAGCAAAAGAGACAATAACAAAAACAAAGAGAAACCCGACTGGGAGAACATTTTTGCACACAACACTAATGATAAAGGACTGATCACAAAAATCTGCAAAGAGCTGATGAGACTCAACATCAACAAAGAAAATAATCCAGTCAAAAAACGGGCAGAAGAGCTAAAAAGAAACTTCTCTGAAGAGGAAATGCAAATGGCCAACAGGCATATGAAAAAATGTTCAACATCACTTGTAATCAGGGAAATGCAAATCAAAACTATCATGAGATACCATCTTACACCAGTGAGAATGGCACTTCTTAAAAAAACTAGCAACAACAAATGTTGGCGAGGATGTGGAGAAAAAGGAACTCTTCTGCACTGCTGGTGGGAGTGCAAACTGGTCCAACCACTATGGGGAGCTGTGTGGAGATTTCTGGACCTACCGAACATAGAGCTTCCATGTGATCCAGCAATTCCACTCCTAGGTATTTACCCAAAGGACACAGAAACATCGGTTCCAGAGAACACCTGCACCCCCATGTTTATAGCAGCACTGTTTGCAATAGCTAAGCTTTGGAAACAGCCCAAATGCCCAAAAATAGATGACTGGATCAAGAAGATGTGGTACATATATACCATGGAATATTACTCAGCATTCAAAAAAGATAAACACATGCAATTTGCAGCAACATGGATGGCGCTGGAAGGGATCATGCTCAGCAAAATAAGCCAGAAAGAAAAAGAAAAATACCGGATGGTCTCACTCATAGCAGGAATCTAGAAAACTTAAATAAGGGACCAGGAAAATGAATAACTATAAGAAAGTGAAAATCAAAATCAACAAAAAACTATGAACCAGAGACACTCTTTGGGGGGTGGGGGGTGGGGAGGGGAGGGATTGGGGTCAAAATAAGGGGATTGCAATTGTATGGGGAATATAAAATAAAATTTATTAAAAAAACCAAAAATAGCTGTCTATAAGTGGTACTTTATACTATTTGGAGAAAGTGATTAATTTTAATCAAATATTTTTGTATGTTATACTATATGTCAACAAATAGTCAACAAAATATTAGCTTAGATAAATCATTAAAATCATCAAACTAAAATCAGATATTTAGATCCAGCTTCTTAAACCCTTTATATCATGCTTTATTTTTGTGGTTAAAATCATGCATTCATGAACATTAATTTTATGTTCAACATATGTGACAAAGTCATAATGATCTAATTTACTATTAATGCAGCTACTAGGTTTACTTAGAAAAAAATTTCCACTATGATATTATTTAACATATCAGAATGATAAAAATATGGCTGATATTTTTCTTAATTCTCCCTTTTCTCCCTATATAAAGTTATTTAGCAAGGAAAATCTTGCATAACAAAATAATTTGTAGCGTAATTCTTAAGTTTTTACAATTAATCATTTTCTATGTCAATTTATCCATTTATGAACGAGAGTTATGATACTCATTATTTTTTATGGGATTGTGATACACTTAACTGTATTTCACAAAGGTATTTTTCACTTATTGTAAGATATATCATAGTCTAATGTACTACCAGGAACAACAACAACAACAAAAAAAAACTTTCACGCTATAACATAATGTTTTCTAGACTCTAATATTTAAAAAAGGCTTATGGAAAAGGTTCCTATAAAATTATTTGTACAGGGCCTCTGGTGGCGCAGCGAATGAGTGCTGGGCTGGAAGCTGCCAGCAACGCCTGCAGCCTCTGCAGTGCTGGTTTGATCCCCAGCCACTGGCGAGGGTCCCACATGGTGCGCAGACCTTTCCTGCTGCCTGCTGCTCCCCTCAGCAGTGTATTTCATCAGTCTGCCTGTTCTGTTCCCCACTCTGGCTCTGGTGAATTCTCTCACCCTCCCGTGCTTCTGACTGTACCCAGTGCTTATATAAATAAATAAATAAATAAATAAATCTTAAAAAAAATGTACATATGTTTCTATCAATATTGTCATACTTATCTATCTGTCATATCAGTTTCTTACTG